TACTACAAGTGCCTTACTAGTAGTAACAAGAAGCTATTAGAAACAAGTGCAACGCAAGTAGTAACAAGTGCCTTACTAGTAGTAACAAGAAGCTATTAGAAGCTACGAGAGTAACTCAAGGGCATCGCGACTCGAACGGAGCAAGAGGACGAACGGGGCGCTCCTGGCCATCTAGTGTTCACGCACGCGTTGCAAAACATTTGGTGCTTGGAGTGGAAGGGCCAAACGAAGGTATTAAGGGACCAAAAACCCCAGGAAGGCCTCATGACTCAAGAAACAAACCCATGTCATGTGAACTTCTACCAAATCGCAGATGTTATTGAAAACGACTGGATGCTTCCACGGGAGGCCTCTGGTTCTCTTCCAGATTTCAGCAAGCTCTTGATCTGTCGCGAGCGCTCTCTTGATCAAATCGCTCAACGTTTGGCTTTGGGAACGGCGGTGGCATGGCAGATGTCACTGTCGAGTCTGACATCAATCTGGTTGTGGGTCACCCGCCAGACCTGGGTTCACCCCTTAAAATTTTCGGTCTGAAGAAAGGGATGCATGTCAACCTCCGGTTTGGTGGACTTTAGGAGTGCCTTCTTGCAGACCTGTCTGCCCTGCTCCCTCTCTTCCTGCGCGCGGCTGAAGATGCGTGGCGGGCGCTCCAGCTCGGAGAGGCCGTCGGCCTTCGACCTGAGACGAAGCCGGAGAGCCAAGCGTGGCACTTGTTACTACTAGTAAGGCACCTGTTACTAGTAGCGATGCACTTGTTCCTATTAGCTTCTTGTTACTAGTAGCGTGGCACTTGTTACTACTAAGAAAAAGAAAACAAAAGAAGCTACTAGGAACAAGTGCATCGCTAGTAGTAACAAGTGCCTTACTAGTAGTAACAAGAAGCTATTAGTAACAAGTGCCACGCTAGTAGTAACAAGCCGGAGATGAGGTGCCATTTCTTGTTGAGGTTTCTACAAGCCACGGGCCCAGGTCTTTAGTGTGGCTGAGTCGGTTGACCTGACTCGGCTGCACCGTCCGCATGTTGAGGTTTCTACAAATGTTGAGGTAGTCGTAGATTAAGACTGATCCCTAAAGGTTTCGATCAAACAGTGGGACAATACAACCTGGTTCTATCCAAAACAACCGGGAGTGCCGACCCAAAACGACTTCGATGGGACCTCCATTTGGGGCGGTGAGTCTGTTCTATAAGTGAGCTTCACCCCCCATTTGGGGCGCTACACAGTAGGTGAAAGATGAAAGACACCGCCTCATATCACTGTGAAAATCCGCATTTGGAAGCAGAAGCATCATATACCCAGCGGCGCAGCCGTTAGCGCGTGCTTCTGAATCAGGCTGCGGTCCTGCAACTGCGGGATTTGTCCTCCGCCCCTTCAACCCATTGGGCTTGCCTCGAACCTAAGAGCAAAAGGAACCTAAGAGCGATGGCCTCCAACCTGGTAGTGATGGCTTCCCATCCTGTTGCCCGAAGTACTGCTATAACTCTGCCACAGTCCAGCCACGCCCAAGCACTTTAGTGGCCAATTTGAGTGGTCCCTGAAGTAGCCCCACGACGTGTGAAAGAGAGTTCGTGGTCGCCACCGGGTATCTTCTAGAGAGATCGAGAACGATCCGTTCGTGTTGTGTTTGAAATCGTGAGTTCTGCGGCCCAATATCCGAGCCCCTCAGGTGTAAATTCACATCAAGACGTACACTCTGACGAACACAGAAAACATGGAAGTGGAGGTGAACTCCCTCATGTTCGCAAAGGCAACTCGTCTTCCAAGGGCTCATACCATCCACTTCCATGTGTTCTGTGTTCGTCGGAGTACCGTCAATTCTCTAAGAAATGTTCACGGTCTCACCACGTCCCACAAAACAGTGCCCCAGGCGGGAAGGAAGCAAATGGAATAGGCCACAAGAGAACGAAAAGCTGAGATTCTATGACGGAACGGGACCCTGAAGAAATTTATTCACGCTCTCAGAAGTGCTTCTAGCGGCATTCTCGCGTGGATTTCATCAAATCTGGTAATTCCATGTATATAATGACATAGACATTGGTTGGACATTGCAAAACTACAACCACGAAGTTAGTGTTTGACAATGTTTCACCATCTTTCACCATGGTTCGTGGTGGACTGTGGGAAGCACTCCTTGACGGCACAGCTCCCGTCAGCACATTCGCCCAGGGCCTGGCGAAGGCTCGTCGTCTCGTTGTGTTGCCTTCTCGTCTGGGCACAAAGGGCTCACAAAGAGCTCCACCTAGTAGCTTCTTGCTACTAGTAACTAGTGGCCTCCAAGCTACTAGCGATGGCTTCCAAGCTAATTGCGACTAATAGCGTTCATCGTGTTTTTCCTTTTTCTTTCTTCCCTTTCTCCCTTTCTTCCTTTTCTTTCATTTAGAATTGTCTTAAACAAATAAACTCATATACAGTTCATACAGGTTCATGCCGTCTCATCATTTTTCACCGTGTTGCTTTTGACGGGGTGTTTTCAGACCGTTCGTCTTCTCCGCGGACCGGGGCGTTGCGATGTGTCTGTCGATCCAAAAGACGGGTGGCCGTCGGGGCTGTGGCTTCGAGGTTCGTTCGCTGAAAGGAAAGGGTACAAAGGTCACCGAAACGAGCACGCACATTTGTGAAGGGTCGTCCCCCAGGGTGTCACTTGAAAAACAACATCTTCACTATCAGTTATTTGGGACCGGTTGTTGATCTTGAAACACCGAAGAGGCTCGGGCTGCGTCTACTCCCTTCTTGGGTCGAAGCCAAAGTGACTTCTGCCACTTCGTTCCACTTCATTCCACCTCCATGTTTGGGTCATGTTCCACTTTGCTCTAAAAGTTGCACGATCCATCCAACGGATGCAGGCGACCCCAGGATTTCCGAGGCCGGGGGCCCGCCGGTGGAGAGCGCAGCGCGCCGACCAGCAGCGAAGGTGCGTGCTTGGTACATCCGACTCGACTGCTGACGTGAACGCAAGGAAGGTGGAGAAGGAGCCCCAAAAACCAGGATTACCGTCATCCAAACACACCAAGAACCCCCACATACCTGACACGTGGGGAACCAACGGGACTTTCGCTGGCCACGGTCCTTCATCTGGCGACCGAAGATCCGAAACGGTGCCCGCTCCTTGTAGTTTCTTGTTACTAGTAGCGTCCTTGCTCCTAGTAGCGATGCCCTTTGCTCCTAGTAGCGTCCTTGCTCCTAGTAGTAAGGCCCTTGTTCCGTTCGTAGGTACCAGGAGCGCCCCGCTTCGTCCTCGCTCCGTTCGAGTCGTCCTTGCCCTTTAGTTACTCTCGTAGCTTCTAATAGCTTCTTGTTACTACTAGTAAGGCACTTGTTACTACTTGCGTTGCACTTGTTTCTAATAGCTTCTTGTTACTACTAGTAAGGCACTTGT